CAATTTTTAATCATTGATAAGATTTACTCTTATTTTAAACGGCTGCATCACAGAAAATATTATTTTCTTTCAGTTTCCCCAAAATACAATTGTATTCGCAGTAAAGATTTGATTTATTTATTGTTTATTGAAGTGCAAGATTATTTATATGTAATAAAATGAAATAAAGCAAACTAATAAAATTCATACACAAATATGTATGTGAATGTCAATCTATATGTGATGATATCACGGATATCACATCAAGGCATCGCGATAGAAGCAATCCTTCTGCGAACGATATCTAAGAATGTCTATTCCCGCGCGAAAGTCGCGCTCTCAGCTTTGACGAGGGCTTGCTTGACTTCTCTTCGAAATTCCCCGTCGACAGGAAACCTTGTCTCTGTCTTCGGCGAAGGCGAGCAGGAAATTTCGATCGCCGTTTGACAACGCGAAAGTAACCAGAGTGCAAGGCGAGAGAAAGAGAGATTTACTCGCGCGAGCGTTAGCGCGCGATATGGGCGGCCGCGTGCGAGAACGTGCGCATAGGAATATAAAAGCAAGAAGACCGGATGACTGCTAACTGTTTGTTAGTCTTGGGTTTTAAAGTCCGCGCGTCTGTCAGTCCAGAGACGTAATATTAGTGCTTAGTGTATGCTGCCGCCGCCACTCCCGCTCATTCACATTTCTTCTCCCTTTTCCTCTTTCTTCTTCTCTTCCTCTGACTCTGCATCATGAATCTCGATTAGCTTCTCCTTGTCGATTTTTCGTGACTTTTCGAACTTCTAAGGCCATTATAACATCATTAAAAAATATATTTATTGAAATTAATAACCTACGATTAACGTGTAACAATTATAAATTTTATATTCTAAAATTTAAGATTTATTTACAATATATATTTTATTATTATTATATATTTTTATAAATTTATAATTTTTTAAATTTTATAAGATGCTTAATTTTATAAGGTGTTCTATCAGCATAAGTTTAATTACTTTGATGTATGTACAAAATTCGAAAACTATCTATTATTGAGCCTTGCGTTTATAACATGTTTTGTTCTCTATATTATAAGCTACATTATATATTAAAACTTATTCATTTTACCGTGACTCAATTTTCTTTACATTATTATGAGATCCTTTTATTATGTTAAATAGCAACTTATTTTGTTTTATTACAGAAAAAGTAATATATTATACAATTTATGAGAAAAGTGTCATATATTTTCTTCAATTATTTATTTTGTTTTAATTAAAAAATTTATTTATATAACAAAGATTATTTTAATCAATATCATTTAAAAACATATGATAAATTCAGATTACAGAATAAGCTCTAATAAGTCCTGTTCGTTCATTGATTCGCCTGAACTTCGACCTTATCCGTAAAAAAATGCTCCAATAATTCATTTAGGTGGACCACTATAAATAGTTAAAGTTACTTGGAGGACCGAACGGAACGAAAGTATTTTAGCGACCATTCTGGAAAAATAAACGATCGCGACCGCGTAAGGAACAGATGACTCTGCCACGCGGATGCCAACTCCTCGTTGGAGTGACAGCCGCCGTGGCTGACGATTGTTTTTCAGTTTACGTTAACGTTTCGCTTTCGTTCGATACGGTCGTTGAACGAGTTCCATCGTTAGTTCGCAGTCTTTATTGACTGCCGGTTAAATTGGGCTCGGAAAGAGCCTTGTACAGAACTATTTGATTTTATGGGACATCTCCAGTTGCTCTCTTCATGCGACAGGCGAAGACGAGCTTGTTAAAAGGGTAACCGCAAAGCTCTGTTTAAGACAAATATCGAGGCCGGTGACATTTTGCGCAACAGTCCGACTTGTCATATAAATGACGACTGCCAGAGTTGGTGGATGCTGGCGAGATAATGTTCGCTGACAGAGACTTCATTTCGTAAACGACCGATACTTAATCCCGTAATTGGTCCACCTATCTCACGACGTGTCTTTCAATAAAAATTCCACTTGCTCTATATACCCGATCTCGATATTTCGAACGATTGCTTATAGCATAAAAAGAAATATCCGAGTGGCAAAAATCGAGTGAAAGAGGAAAAGACGAGAGGCAACAAAGTGTAGCGAAATAGAGGAAAGGATGAAATCGGCGAAGGGCGGACGCCGGTCTTGTTCGGGGGGGTAACTGAAATAAGGTATAATTTTCCGCGCCAATTAAGGTCTTTAAGAATTGCGACCAATTGAGCGGGAGGGTCAGAACCTTAGCTTTAGGGGAGAGATGTACCACCATCCCCCTATAATTTATTATTGATTAGATCGGATCAAGAAAAAGAGGTCTCGGTATGTAGACTTAAGATTGGTCTCCGAACGTCTGTGTATAATAGAGTGTAACGAGCAAATGGCGGATGACGTTTTTCCAATTTCCGGTCCGGATCCTTAAAGCATAATGGTTGTATTTGATACAATTTGTTCTTTATTTCAAAAAAAGTTTGTTGATTTTAAGTAATTATCAGAATTCAGGAAAGATTATGTGTCATTCATAATTTAAATATTCATAAATTTTTCATATTCCGTATTATAAAACAAGAAAATAACTGTTGATTTAATTTTATATCAAAATAATTATAAAAGATGATAAAATATCTCAAATAATTAAATATATACTTTAAGATAAGAGCTGCCTCCTCAATATTTTTTTATTTGAAAAAAGTATAGAAAAAATATTCTTAGATCGTCTTGATTGCCGTTGTAACGTTAAAGCGTGTTTATAGTTTTCTACTATTAATTAATAATTTAATACAAAAAAAGTCATTTTGAATGAAAAAGCCAAACTATATTTTTTGACAAAAAATTTTTAATTTCCGCAATTAAAGATAAAAGTCTATTACTATAAATAACTTCCTATAAGAACATGTTAATTTGTATTAAGATTTTTATTATTTTTGTGGTAATAAAATTTGTTATTGGCGTGTGTGACAAGAATGATGTATCACGCAATGATAAGTTATTGAAAGAGGGGATAGAGAGAACGAAAGTATTTTCTCATCGATATCTCGAGCATGTGAGGTCATCATCAAATCAACTCAGGCATAGTCCACGTTCCTGTGGTTCACACTTAATTAAACCGCCATAGGAACTCGGGTGCTAGCACGTGGCGAACAATGCCGCGAGTCTTTAGCGGCGATTGTTATGTAAAGCACACCCTATACATGCACCGCACAGTTTCTCTCTCGTATCGCATCGAAAAGTAGCATCTATCATTCCGCTTGTACCTATGTACAAAGAGAACGAAGTAACTTTTTGAAATTATCCGGTTTGATTCCACTAACTTCGATCATTTTTCATCAACTAGCAACATGGCCTTTTAAAAAATAATTCCATTTGTTGTTGAATGCTTTATTTTATAATAATATCTCACTAATTTCTAAAAAAAAGTATCTTATCTTATTTTAAATCCATTTTAGATGTAATTTGCGTTTGACTTTAAAATAAAATTTTCTTTGTAATTTTATCTGTCGTATATTTTAATTAATGTATGTGAGTTTATATATTTTTCTGACTCTTCAAATGTCTTTCATATTACACGATATACAAAATTGTGAATAGAATTTTAATTTTGTGAATGAACTGTAGATTGTTTTAAATACATTTTAGGTTATTTAAGTGCTATTTTTGATAAAAAATATTTTATTAAAAATGTTATTAAATATAATATTTTATTAAAAATAACAAGAATGATTAATATAAAAAACAAGAAAGAATAAATAGGAAACGTATTACATATCAAAATATTAATTGAAAAACTTTATCACATTCTGTTGTAAAAGACGTCAAATGCAATAGATTATACATAATCTGATTAAATCTGATAACTACTTTCCTAATGTACTAATACACAATTTAATCAAATCTTATATATTTAATCATAAAACATATATCAATAATGAAACTGTCATCATGTATGACCACCGTGAGTGATTGCTTCATTGCTCTCATCGATAAGAACTTAAGCAGCTTTTTATCATCTTCGCTGACACGAATGACAAAACGAGAAAATCTGTAAAGTGTCCGTACGTTTCCGGCGGGTCGCGACAATCACGATGATCTAAAAATCTCTCGCGATCCCACTCCGTAGCAGAATCTTTCCCGACCTCGTGTCTCCATCTGGATTGGCCATCGCGGAAAAGCGACGTCGCGGGAAAAGCTGTGGATTGGCCGTAGGGCGAGGCTTGCGTCGTGACGGAAGCGTCACGTCTGATCGCACGTAGAACACCCAAAGCTCCACCTACCTCAGAACGCGCGGTATTCGCGCGTGTAAGCTCACTTAGGAGAGCAGAGACTGAGAGGGTGGGTGACGAAGAGCATTACGAAGCTCGTTAAGGAGAGGAAAGAAAGATCATTTCTATGACACACAGTGAGAGAGCGATCGATAGCTGATGAGAGAGTCGTCGACGGAATTTGATAAGTTTTGAGCATCATCTTTCGATTAGCAAAACTAGTCTCTCGAGTGAGATCATCTACGTATAGAGATCTTAGCAAAACAGAAAGAGAAACAGGAGGAAAGAGGGATGAAGAGAAGGGCGAGAAGAGGGCGAAGCATCTCTTAGGTGGGGGTTGGTCGAGTAAAAGAGGGAGGCTCTTCTCGAGGGAGGAAGGGCAAGTTGTGGGTTGAGTGTGGTAATTCGAAAAATAAGTCTCCGCGGGCGACAAGCACACTTGACCGAAGCACACTCGAATCGGAAGGGTCGAGCACTCGGGAATAACAATTAATAACGCCAGTCGGCCTACCAACGATCTTTCTGGCTGCTCGAGAGTATCCAGGGATTATGTGAACACGGAAGGCGCCTAGCATTCGTTGGCTGATCCTCCATTCTAACGTGTCGACGAACAAGCGAGAATGACATCCTGCGTGATTGAGAAAATTCGACGTGTGATTTTTCGATTTTTTTCGATAAGTTTCTAAAAGTGAAAGAAGTCAAAATTTTTTGTGAAGAAAAAACAAGGTAGTGAATTTGCACGATGACAATTAGTAAGATGTGACGAGACGAATTTCCTGGAGTGTATAGATAAAAATGATGGTTGTAATTATGAAGAAAATTAAAGAAGAGAAAATTTAAAAAGGACATCGAGTGCATAGAAAGACTTATTTTAAGACAGCTTTTGTTGTGATCGTCGTGAGAAAGAGAAAAATAGCAAAGCATAGAGTGATGGAGGACGAGAAACATAGCGAAGCCTCGCCGAAACCCCTTCAACCAACCCCTTTTAGTATCGCTGATATTCTGAGCCGAAAAAATTCTGGCGTGGATTCGAGAAGATGTGATTTGGAGAAAATCCAGGCCACCGTTTCCGTGCCGATGAGAAAACATAATCATGACTGTGAACGCGTGGAGAACGAGCAGTTCGACGGAAATTACGATCACGATCAGGTGATTCATTATCAAAGATTGCCCACCCCAGAATTGAACATGGCACATGAGTTGGATATCTTGAGGAGGAACTTGGCGCAAGCAAATTTATCAAATTTTGGAGGCCTCCCGCACTTGAGCCAAGGAACTTTTAAGAATCACTTCGAAACTCTGGGAAACCTGACGGCATATCAGTCTGTTAAAGAACCGGAAACTTCTCATAGACAGCAGGATGAAGCCTTGGACATGAGTAAAAATAAATATCTAGGTACGTGATATTATTCGCATGTGCATAAATTATCATAATTTCATAATTTTATAACAAAAAACGTATCGTATTTAAAAAAAAAAAAAGTTTTACTCTTCTCGAGTATCAAAATATCAAAATAACATCTTATATTTGAATTTTTTATTTACTCTGCAGTATTGAATTAATTAAAACAATAATTTGCAAAAAATAATTGATAGGCAACTTCATATGCATATAACTACGAAGCAGAATTTTCTTAAAAAATTGAGGTCACATTATTAAAAAAAAATCGTTATAAATGTTATGATAAATAACAAATTTATTTTTAATTACGTAAAGGAGACGAAATGTTAATTCTTTTCAAAAAAGAAATTCTAACTAACATATTGCGAGCGAGAACAATAACTTCGAGATTCTAAAAGATGATGACCAACCGGAGGATCTTGTATCGAATATGAGGATGCGGGCTTAAGAGGTCATTTAAGCAGATACGCACGTAACAGACGAGCTCTTTTCAAGGGTTTTTAAAGTTAACCCGAGCGCAGATAACGTAATTGAATGTAATTTTAGTAGCATAAGTGGCACTCGACTCGGCAGACGTCACGAGTACCGGCTACTTCTTGCACTTGTTCGATCTCTGGCCACACTCTGTTCCTATGTGTCTCAAGCACGCAAGGATTCGCAGATTACCTTCGTTTAGATGAAACCATTTTAGATCAAGGTTACGATCGCTAACTATTTCCGAGTAAACGTTCGTGATTGATTTATTCGTGACAGATGTAGTGCTATGTGTTCCATGTAGGATAGCAATAATTCTTAGTTAATCGTTTGTGTTCGCTAACTACAATATACGTATTGCGCTACGTGTTACACGAAAATATACAATATTGCTATTTTATGTTGCAATTTTATATATATATATGTATATATATATATATATATATATTATGTTTAAAATATTTTCTATGTAATCAATTGAGCTGTACCATATGTACATTGCGTTATATATTACACACAAGAGATAACGATAGTTTACCTTTGCATCCCTTTATGTCATGTCCATCTTTTCGTAATACTCGCCCTCGTTAATGATACGAAAGTATAGAGTTACTTTAGTCGAATAGTGTTATCTTAGTATGAGGGTAAACAGATACTCCCCTCGCACTGACTGTTTTATGAAATCAATCATAATTAACAGCATTTATGCAAGATTTCTACTTTGTATTTCTTCATAATTATAAAAGTTATAAATAAAGACATTTTTTAGCATTTAGAACATAAAATTTGAATCATTATTGATCCTAATTACTTATTAATTGTTTCAATCCGGATTTAACAAATTATTATGTATTAAATTGTGATAAAATTAGATAATTATATTTTATAACAAACTTGACGTATTACATCCACGTATCATATTGCAAAGGAGAAAATGATTTAAGGAAGACAAAATACGATTCACAGTAATTTCAGGATACTCAGAAAAAAAAATTATAGGAAACACGTTATGTAAAATTTTATAAAGATAGATCGTGTAAAGATAACATCAAATACACAGTAATTAACATTACGAAAGAGCGTCTATTCTTAAATGAAGAATTGTCACCTGAAACCGCACGGTAGTATATTGTTTGCAGCAGCTCGAGGGTGAAGAGGTAGACACGAGCTGGCACCGATTCAAGGTGCACTTAGAAAATTACGAGTCCACTTTCGAGGGGAAATCTCTCCAGTCATTTAATATGATAATGGATAATCAAAAGAATCAACGTTGTTACGACAAATTATTTTTAACCACTTATTACTACTACGGTAATAACTGAAAAAATCCTTCCTGACTTTTGCGTCCTTCCTGATAAAGTCTATCCATGGAGGAGCCGAAAAGCGTTTTAGTGATCTCGAAGGATCATCGATGTAATCAGACTCAGTAGACGCCACTTGCTTGCCTGGAACTGAACTCTCGATATAGACTCGATATAAACATCCATAGGATGTTTGACGAGCACGAAGGATGGACGCATTAGCCGGACGAGATGGCATCTAGTCGACGTCGAAAGTGATCAAATATAGATCTCTCTAAATGTTCCACGTCTCCTGCTGACCACCGACGATAAACATTGACGTAGGATGAGCATTTTGAGCGTGAAATAATTATGACATTGTCAGGAGAACATTGTGATTTATTTGCAAATACTTCCTGATTTAGAAAAAAAATTATTAAAAATTTTGTTTTATTTTAAAATATACGTAAAAGTATCTTCCTTTAACATGATACTTCAATTATTAACTATCAAAAGCAAGGAATCTGTATTTTAAGGATAACACGTTTTAGAGGAGAGATATCGAAATTTCTTAATAATCCCAAAACGATTTTGTTGAAATATCTAAAAATTTAGCTAGATACAGATCTGAAAATAATTTTATTAAACCATCAAAATAATTAGGTAGAAATATCAAGCATGATAAGCAATGATACAAAAAATTTTAATATTCTAGCAACCAGTTTGCGTCCTATCCTACATAAATATTTTGATTCTAATAAAATTATTTCCAAATCCATATTTAGCTAAATTTTTAGATACTTCAGCAAACTGTTCTTATCATGCAGATATTTATGACATTTTTTTATATCTGTAATTGAAGTATTATTGCAATATATTTTTGCAAGAAAATATGTTCAGACTAAAAGTTTTAGTTTTATATCGAGAGTAATTAAAAAAACATATATAAATTTAATTTAAGATTTACTATTTTTAGTTTTTTTGAAATACATTAGTTTTTTGTGTCGATAAAAAAATCTGCAAGTATAAAATTAAAACGTAGACTATTATTTGTTTTCAGCGATGTAATTAATTTTTATTATTCTCGTTAAAAAAAGTTATTTTTTATTAATGGGGGATATGTATCGCAAAGTAGCGGATCAAGCTCGTTGCCAAGTAGAAGAAGCTAGTCTGATCTGTAATACGATTGTACTCTAGTGCCACTGGTTAAACTTAGAGGAGAATTACTGCGGAACAGAAGCATAAACATGTCGGAGTAGCGAGTACATGTGTTAATGTTTGTACGAGACATCAAAAGCAACGAGGTTCTCTCTCGTTCTTTCTCTCTCCGATCGTTCACCGTCTCTATAGCTGCTCGCTGATGATTACTCCGGCTTTCGAGTTAAACGATTGCTTTATAGTATAGTTGCAGATTCTCGCGCAAATCTAAATATTTGTCCGCAAACGAATTTGTACGGCAAGCTCACGTTATTCGAAAAATGAGATTCCACCATTCATCGATAAAAACTTAAAAGCTTTACTCTTTTAATAAATGACGATTTATAGATATGTTAAAATGTGTTTGATAACATCAAAATTTTGTGGAAATTACGTATAATAAAAACTCTATTTTTTTAAATTCTCTATTAATTGAAACTTGTTTACATTGCAACAAATCACAATATATATATATAAAATAGAAGTTCGTTCACTTATCTTACAGACGAGGCGGAGGACGACGCGTACGAATCGCAAAATTCAGGTCAAAGTTTGCAGAACAGAAAAAAGCGCAGCAGGGCAGCATTCTCGCACGCGCAAGTCTATGAACTGGAAAGAAGATTTGCTGCTCAAAAATATTTATCCGGTCCAGAAAGGGCAGATTTAGCGCGTGGCTTAAAATTAACGGAAACGCAAGTCAAGATCTGGTTTCAGAATCGACGGTGCAATTTTTTTTATCTATGCTTACACGTCTCATTATTTTCCTAGATTTAATACGAAAATTTTGGAAAATGTAATTTTCAAAAAATAAATTATTTTGTTACAAACATTTTTTCTTTCCAATTATGAAATTTCATTAACTGTCATTAATGATTTCAGGTATAAAACCAAGCGGCGCCAACAGCAAGAATTGGGAGCCCTCGTAAACTCTGGAAGCGCCAGGCGCGTGGCTGTACGCGTTCTAGTACATCCGGACGAACATTTGAGGGGATTGCCTCTTCGTGGTTCCGGACAACTTCCCGGGCAAATGTCGAGCTCACAGATTCATCCCGCGAACAAAGCGCTCAGTGGTTTCCCATATTATTGTCTGCCATATCATCCGCTACTTTGTCCACCCCTACATGCCACTCATGTTCAGGTACAAAGCCCGATCACATCCGATTTCGATCCAAACCAAATCTCGAAAATCAAGGACGAGAAGTGAATGATAGACTGCTTTCGAAGTATCAACTATTGTTCCACGTCTAAACAAAGATGATGGTACTTCAGGAAACATATGTCAAAATATCATTTAGAGAATACTTTGATGATATCTTTTAAGTAGATATATTGAGACGAATGTTGAGAAAACTCTTTTCCGGAAAATGATTTTGTCTAAAAAATAAATTGAAGGACTTGAAATGAATTGAAGGCAACAATGTGCTCAATTACATAAAAACTGTAAACACATGAAATTTTTAGATTGTATTTATTTATTAAATACTGCTTCAATCAAGAAGCATATCTACATTTTTTAGAATAGAAAATTGAAAATACGTTTGAAATCTGACTATACTAAATAATATATAATTAATAATTTATAACATAATTCTTTAATAGCTCATTTGTAAAATATGCTCCAATTTAAGATATTATTTCCAAGTCTTTCAATTGCATTTTCATCTAAACATTTTCTGTGCATAAAAAATCCTTTCTTCAGAATTACATTAATACGTATAAATAACTGAATTTACCAATCATCTTGTAGCTGTCAACATCACACGCATAATGTATTGTAATTCAATAGCGACATAAAAACAATCGTGTAAATTAGCCTGTAAATAAATGTATAAAATACGAAATATTGAATTTCCTGTATTTTCTCTTTTGTTATCTAAAATACCAAACTTAAATTTGGAAAGGAATAGGAAAATCAAATCAAGCTAAAGCTTCTATTAGTTCCTTAGTCCTCTGATATTATAAACTTCAAAATTTCATATCATAAAATCAAAAAAACTAAAGATGACGTTGCAAAACTGTCATGTTGTGCAAAATTAATGTGCTTCTTATTTTTATTTAAAAAAAATATTGTCTGACATAGAAATTACGGAGTACAATTTTTAAAATGAAAATAAAAAATGTGTTCGAGTTACTAACAAAACGTGTGCAATTAATAGCGGAACATGTGCAATGTAAAATATAAATTAAATATTAATGCTAATTAAATATTAATTTGTTTAACATGCGCAATGCGTGTACCGTGTTCAAACTCAATTTATTGTTAAGTATAGATGCGTAAATGTCTTTAAATAAAAATATGTATATCAATCAAGATCTGTCAAGGATGCTTTTTTTCCCTCAATTTTCCTTTTTCTCCTAGCAAAAAAAAAAAAAAAAAAAAAAAATTACAAAGCTGCAAGTGGAAAATGGATTTTCTTGGTGATATCGTGACTGACTTTCTCATAAGGGTTTTAATGGCTGTGTCTGGGTGGGCCCAACAGACATCAGATATGTTTATTCAGACGTAGAGACGAGCAAGCTTAACCGACGGACGAGAAAAAATCTAGATCTGACACTCATCTGTTGTAAACAAAAGTGTTACATTGCCCTCGCCGAAACGTCTTTTACATTCCGCCCATGTAAATCCTTAGGGAACGATCTCAGAGTGGGAATTAGTAATTTTTAATTTATTTGTTTAGAGTTCTTAAGTTTTAATTGCATGCATACGCACAATAGCAATGATCATAGAATATTTAATAAACTACAATCAGACATATTCTTTTTTCAATATGTGAAAATATGTCGAAATATAATGTCTCCATGATAAATATGACCAGATATGTGTAGAGATATCCAATTGACTTTATAAAAATAAAATTAATTAAATAAATTAAAGAAGCAATAATCTTGCACAGACAGCTACATAAATAAAAGGAATTTAAATTTTGGCAACAGAAAACTCTTTGATCATCCATCATCCATTTGCTTCGTAATTCGTATTTTTGGCGTTCCTGAGTATCAATAAACTGTAGTGGTCGGCACAATTTTCGTGACGCAAGCCACAAATTATTACGAGTTTTGCGTGGCACTAACAGCGACTGTGCATCGACACAAGGCCTCGTTTAGCGCAAGAGCATTATGGCTTTACAATGTTTAGAAATGTTCTAAACGAAGCAATAATGGACTGCAGAAGCGACTATAAAGTCTATACAGCCTAACCGATTTTCCGTTGCGTACGTTTAAATCACGAGATACAGATTACAGGATAGAAGTCATTGCATTAATTGTTACAATCAGCATTGCTCCAATCTTTTGATATAAATAAATAAAAACTGTTTTAAAAATGTTACAAATCATTTAACTTGTAGTAAAACAAGCTATACAAATAAAAATAACGCAAATACAAAGTGCATTCAATAAAATAGATTTGTCAATAAAACGGATTTAATATAAAAATTATATTTTCAAATTTATTCTCTATTTTGCATTCAGAAAATTAAAATCATATTTCTATGAAAATAATGTTATTATTGATTCGAAATGTTTCTCAGTATGGATGTTTATCGAATATTTAACTATAACGAAATTTACGTTGAAACTTAAAGAATTAGTTCAGAATGCAACAAACCATTTTCAATTCTTGAGTTAGAAATTTGTTATCGACGCGACGGTAACAAGCTCACAATTTGAAGCAGAAGTACGTTCGTTTGAGTGCACCTGATGGACTTGTCTCGTAAAACGAGAAAGGAACGATTTAACGCTCAATCAACCGACGAAAGCTAATTTTCATTAGCTGTTAATAGCACAAGACCACCCTCTCCCTTGATCACCCTCTATGACTCTACGCCTTAACCCCTCGCTACACCGTTCTCCAAGCGCTCGACTTTCGTTTGTTACGAGAAAGCTTTGCGCGTTGAAATGAATGGTACAGAAGAAATTTGCAAAATTAACGTAAAATTTATCCGTTGAGTAATAAAGTACTGTAATTCAATAATATATAATAGGAATATATAATATATTTGAGAAAGAAATTATTTTAATATAAAAAAAATATCTTTTTTATGAACTTTTCATTTGCTGTCATAGAAAAAAAATACTATAATAAAATATTTCAATTTTTTTAATGTTTTAAAATTTAATTTAATTTAATTTTAGAGGCACTTGCAAATTCTCTCACTTTTTGTAATAAAAATTTTTTTAGATTTTTATATCTTGTAGTTATTAGTATACTGTTTGCTACAAAAAAAACCGATTTTGCTAAAGTATCTGAAGATTTAGATAAATATGAATCTGAAAATTTTATTGAATCATTAAAATAATTAGATAGAGAGGAATTTCAAGCATGAGGAGCACTGCTGCAAATAATTTTGAAATTCTAGCAACTAGTTTGAGTGTCCTATATAATTATTTTGATACAACAAAATTATTTTTAAATCTATTATCATAGTTAAATTTTGTAATGTTTCAACAAAACTGTAAAAGCGTGTGTTATTCGATATATCATATTCACGATTATATTATCGATTTTATAGTTCTGAAAATCTTAATATTTCGTTCTTGTTAAGAGTTTGCAAAAATTAATTTTTTATTTCTTTTAAAGAACTTGTTTCAATATTCAAAAGATAAGTCAAATTTGGAACAAAAACAGACAGACTTATAGAGACAGTTTTTCAATATTTCTGACTAAATATTCTCTACATTTCAATGAATTCGTAGGTAAGTATATATCGAGAGTCAGATTTACTGTAAAAAGATTACCAGAGGGATCAATTTGAATCTCATTTTAAAAAATCGTACAAAGAGGACAATTCAACCGTTCGAGGCAACATAGCGGCTATTATCAATTTTTCACGAACCATTTGCATGCATAGTAAAAAATGATTCTGACTTTTTCAAGCGTCTGCGATATCTTTTACAATTGACGTAAAACGAATAATTAAATTTAAAAGTATAATCCAGACCCTTTTTCTACAAAGCTCACTTAATATTTCATTTCGGATTTTATTAAATATTTTTTAATATGGATTATTAAAAGACATATCAAAAATGATAAACTCACAGTCGTTGAAACGAAAAAGCCATAGAGATACAGATTCTTTTTATTTTTGTAAATAAAACAAATGCATGATGCAAATCTGCAAATTTCGTCCTCTCAAAATAACATAAACGGAATTGCCGGTTCCAAGTTTGAGATTTCAGTCGTTACTTTCGTCTCTATCGTTACTTTTTTCTACCTCTCTTATATACCATTCTTCCGACTTCTGACACGCGTTTCAATTGGGATGGTTGCCAAGGAAACCTAGGAGCCAGGGTGTCACATGGACTATTGAAGACGTTAAAGGGGACACCTCTCCATTTCGTCGAAAACATTCGAAACACGATGTCAGAAATCAATATGATTTATAAGTCATGACTATATTTATAAGTTAAACGTGAATTTCAAATTTTATTAATTTAAATTCCTCATATTACATTTTTAGATAAGTTATATATTTTTGTTTGTGCCAAGTGATCATCTAATATCAATAAATAAACAACTTAATAATTTTCTGTTATTAAAAAACTAAAACGCTTATAATTATAAAATTATTTAAAGATTATATTTATGTATTTTATGTATTATATGCAGTTTCAAAAAAGCTTTTTTTAAACTTCACATTTTTTTCGATTCTTACAATTTTGATAATAACATTTTTTTTTAATGTAAAAACGCTTTTTAAAAAAAAATAATAAAAAATTCTTCCTTCTTATTAAATCAGAAAAATAGGATAAAATTATTTTAATTGTATTAATTACCTTACAATATATAACAATATAATTAATAAATTAAGTATTATAGCTCGGTTGAGATAAATCCATACAATCAATTAATGCCTATTCGAACAAACACTGAGTGACAATGTGAAAATAATTTATTCAAATAATTTTTTTATTGAAATGTTTCGATCCTGATTTGGATCCTTATGATAACGTTGCGATGATCATTATACCAGGAAATATGATGATATCTTGTTACATTACTATCCTTAACTGCATTATTAATAATTTTGGAGCATTGATAAGGCTTCAAATCAGGATTGAAACGTTTGCGTATTTAATATGTTTATTTAAATAAATTATTTTCACATTGTCATTCAGCGTTTACTCAAATAAGCATTAATTGATTGATTGATTTATAGATTTATTTTACAATATATATATATTTATATTAATTATTTAAATTGT